TGCGAATAAAACAAGTTTGACCATCCCCAATTTGTAAAAGAATTTACTAATGACCCTCCCCTCCGAAGCCCCGGCCCCCCCCCCCCCCCCCCAATAAAAAAAAAGTACCTTCCCTTATAATTCATGACGACCTGAGTGCAAGAAAATGGAGAGATCAATAGAAAACGAAATTGAGTATTTTGTCACTCTTTACCCCCACAGGAGGGTTTCTGGGCCTTGCTCCTCAGGACTAAAAAGACGTTCAATTTTTAACTAGAATCATCGTAATTTACTTCTCATTCAATGCAATAGGATCTAAGACTGACGAGTGGTCGAGCTACCGTGGTTGCTTCTGCATCAACTCGTTTTATCGAAAAGGCCGATTCACCGGGTGTGAAGCGTGTCCCAAGGAAGTTCGCGGGGTCCTCTGCAACGAGACTATACTCCTCAAAGAAGGATTCTGGTGGCAGTTTAGAGATTACAATGAAAGCTGGGAATATCAGCGATTTGTGGACGCGTTGATGATACCTGACGAACATTACAATCACCAGGATGTGAATTTTACAGGACTGTTTCCCAAGCCATACCCGTGCCCAACGGCTTCTTCCTGCTTAGGATCGCTGAACTCCGTTCGAAAACCGTGCAAAACAGGCTATGGGGGACCGCTATGCGAGGTGAGAGAATAAGGGCTTACTTTCAACAGAGGGCGATGGTATTAAAGAGAGGACACGTCTGCTTTAAACGCTTCCCTTGTGTAAATTATTGTCGATAAATATTGGTACTGGCATGGCTAGAGCTCGAGTTTTAAAAGGACTCTGGAGCTCAACCGAAGTGTTTGTGTTCTGCTTAAGACTAAAAAATGTTTTGTTTCACATGGCCTCACCCCACCCAGGATGTAAATGAGTATGAGCGAACTGATAAAAGACAGACCTGACAGATGCAAGGACCCCCAAATCAACCTCTCTAGCGATGTCCCCAACAACTTCCCAGAAAGAAGAGTGTAAAACCGACCGTGCATCATTATCATTAATCTTTTTCTGCTTCCTTCAGGTGTGCGTTAAAGGTTATTACCAGTCCTTGTCACGATGCACTAAGTGCCCCACCCTCCCCTGGCTGATTACACAAATGATCCTCATTGTATGCGCCGTATTCCTGTTCGTCTTTATTCTTGTCCGTGACGGTAGAAAGGCCAAGTCCAAGGCACGGACACTATCCGACGTTGTGCTGGCGCGCTTAAAAATCATCGTCGGTTTCTATCAGGTATTTCACGGTTTGGTATCATTTTAAGCCCCAAACAGCAACTTATTTCTCGTACCGATACGAAGAAGTAATCAATAATGGGTACAGATCGTGATAATTCTACAACTAAACTTAATTTAAACTTTGACACTTAAGATTATTTTTATGACTACCATCGTAATAACCAAACCATAATTTTGTTAGTTAATCAATACTCTAAGTTTCCTTGCAAAGCTGGCTGCATTTGATTAGAAGAAATGTTAAATAGCTTGTCCGCAAAAAGAAATGTTTCGAAACAATCTGGAACTGATTTATATGCTTGTAACAAGAACCTTAATGAAAAAGATAAACGAGAAGGGTCGCAGATGTCAAATTCAGTGTAAATAGTGACACCAAAGACATTTACTACATTCAGATCCAGGAACTGGCGTCAAACTAATCAAAAATAATGAAACTCAGCCAAACGCCAAACTTTGTAAAATTAGCAACGTTATAAGGAACCTTCGCTGTGTTCATCTTTTCAAGTCCTGAATACAGCTTGTTTTCCACATTTCACGTAGGTCACAGCCGGTACTCTGGACGCCTTCTCGTACGTACAGTGGCCCGAAGCTCTTCTGCAACTCAGCAACTATGCCAAGTTTTTCCAGTTGAACCTTATCCAAATAGCTCCTCTTCATTGCCTCAAAGAGAGTTTGAAAATGAATGCATACGTTGGACTGTTTTTAACAGTGGTCCTGAATGGCGGAATCGTCATCTTGGCCCTTGTATATTTTCAATGCAAGAAACTATTAATCAAGTAAGAGCTGCATTGTGTTCCCTCATAACGTCCTTTTCAAATCACTACAAATCACTAAATATACTAAAACTGCCACATAAATAAGCGATAACTTTCACTGAAATCACATCAATGTATACAGCTACATACGCCGTTGCAGGGTTGTGAAATTCTAGCTTACCTTTGTCACGAATCAATTATCTTTATAAATGAGAGGCGTCTGACGGCAGCGGGACTTTCATCGCCGTAATTTGTTACTGTCGAAAAATATTCGTGGACTGGCATTAGCTGCTGGGTGGGGGCTAATTTAGTCTAATGAATGGTATTCTTATCGCCGTTTTCTGCCGTACCACATAGGTTTCAGAAAGGCATGACAGTGGAGGAGAAGAGAGAAAAAATTTCGCTGAGCAAAGAGCATTGCTACCGAAGCGCCTTCCTGGTCATGTTTATTACATTTCCAGAGACTTGTTCCAGGATCCTCCGCATGCTCCCCCCTGCCTGCCACCAAATATGCCAGGTATGAGAGCTACATGATTAATAGTAGGTAACGCAAGAGCATAGTTAATGAAGATACGTTTCTCTATGCTTTTTTGTTGCTTCCTAACGCCTGACCGCGCAAAAAAACACCAGGCGTTTTGCCATGGATCTGATCAACTACCTGATAAAAACGAACATTTTTGCAAAAGTTCCTAATACCGTATTTGACCTAATGGAATATGGGTAGGAGTAGGCAAAGCATTGGAAAAGGAGAGGAGCAAAGCAAAAACAATCCCTGGAAACTGTGCTTTACAGTCGTAGCGTTCAACTTGAAGCTTCAGTCTCTTGAATATTTAGTAATAGTGGTTTTGCAGTTCTTTGAACGACTGAGATGCTAGCCTGCCGCCGGTGACTGGCAATTTCAACACACTCTAATTCAGCACCTACATGTGAGTAATGTAAAAGGTTTACATGAAGATCATAGCTCAACAACTGATCTGAATCTGGAGACCAGGTATAACGTACGTAGCTTTAAAAATTGCTGAATGTGCCTTCCGTATTAACCACAAATTGGTCAAGGGCCACCCCCAAAACTTGGATGTGACCATGCGCGTAGTGAGTTTACTAAGCGGATTACTAACCACTAAAAATCGGTCAAAAACCTCACATCAGAAACCAATACCTTGATCTATTGATAAAATATTCCTCCTCTTTAGGACCTGGAGATGAAGGACTGCACTTACTACCTGAAGATGGACTACAGTTTGAAATGCTTTGACAACGACTATAAGAAATACGTGACCGCTGCCTACGTGGGATCTATTTACCCTGTGCTGTTCCCCTTGTTCATCGTGGCTGTGCTCTATCTGCTCTACTACCGTCCACAAATCAAAAATCGCGCCGCCAATCCTGACCCAAAGCGGTATGAAATCGTCGAAGGCATGCGTTTCATCTATGAAAACTACGACGAGAGATGCTGGTATTGGGAAATAGTGGAGATGGTCAGGAAGTTGATTCTCACTTCCGGCCTGGCCTTACTTGGCGCCGAGGGGCGAATCTATATTGGTATGGCAGCCATGGCGTCAGGATTCTACGCTGTTGCGCATGCTCAAGCTCGGCCAATCCCTGATAAGTTTGAGCATCTGCTGCAACTGGCGTCTCTGGTAGCAACGTTCTTCAATTTAAGCGTTGGTGTCTTGTTGCGAATTCCGACTGAAATGATTAACTACTCGATCGAGAAGGACAAAGATTCTATTGGCGTCACCGTTCTGTTAGTGACAACTAATTTCATGGTCATAGGACTAGTCGTCGGTGAGTGTCTCTTATGCCTCCTAAGATGCCGATATATAAAACTATCAAGTCGTCACTATTCAGTTCTTAATAGTGAATTTAGACGATTGCATATGGAATAACGCATACATTGTTAAAGCCAGATTTCCGTATCCAATCTGTAAAATGGAACAAATTTGATCTGTATGGAGAAAATAAGCTAAATAGCTTTGCTATAAACTTTTATAAACGAATGGATTAACCTAAATCCTCTTTTTTGCAGTCCGTTATCTTATGTCACTGGGCCAGAGTATATACGATGTGTACAAGAACCCACAATGCAACTGGGAGTGCTGTCTGAGTGTGATATTATCAGCACAGGATACAAGCCCGAGTCTCCAGGACGGAGCAGGCGATGGAGACAACTCGGTGAAAGATAGCATTATGTTATTGCTAAAAACTAAGGTTAAATCCTTAAAAATGAATTACCAAATAGTTTGCAAACTCGAAGGGAACGGAGATGAGTGAGGGAGGGTAAAGGCACAGGGTTATGACCCAGGCGTGTTATCCAAAGTGTGCTTAATTTGCATTATAATATCGAAAAAAAAAACAACAACAACAACAACAACAACAACGACAACAAAAACAGGGTGAGCATTTCAGTATAACCTGATTTACCAGAGAATACTGATCCATCTCCAAAAGTATAGAATCTCATCACGTGTTTTGACTTAACTGACAAACTGGAAATGTTAAGTAATCGGTCACAATGGGTTAGCATGGACCCCGAGAAATAATAGAGTACATAAAATAAGACTAGTGTATGTGCGACGTCTAATATGTATTGCTCAATCACATATGCCAGTGGGTAAAAATGTAAGACTATCTGCCCCAAAATAATACTTGAGGAAATACTGGAATTCATTTCCTTTCCATTTTATTACAATAGAACAATACGTTAGCCCCAAAGGGGTTCTTTTGCACAAGAACGGAATGAAGTAGGGGGTTTTGGAGGAATTTGTTAGCTCGATTTTAATAGTTAGTTGTTACTCGAAATTTTGAGGGATAAGCCCTCATCTTTGCCTGTTTTCGCATATAACATTTTATCCAGTACTAATAGTTTTGTTTTTAACATTGGACCCTGTCGGATGAAGCTTACAAACAAACAAAAACGCAAACAAACAAACAAAAAAAATAGGAAGAGAACAGACTATTTTATTTTAAACGGTGTTTAACAGTTTGTATTAAGCAGGGGCCTTTC